AAAGCACGGTCCTGAGCCACCTGCATCCATCCACTTCCTGCATGTCTTACCAGGTCGTAACTCCATCTAGTGGGGGGGTCGTCGTGGTTTCTCTGCGTGATAAACTTAGAAATGAAGATATCCGCAGTAGAACCAGAGTAACCGACATAGCCCAACGGTTAGTAAGCTCGAAGAACCGACAACCGATGGGGAAAAAGGTTCTCGAGTGTCAGCCTCGTACCGGTAGGTGAAGTGTAGGGCGCCTTATAGATAAGATTCTTTCTTCAGATTTTAAAAATAAAACACGAAAGATACACCTGCAATATATTAAAATGTTTTTGTTTCCTATGATTCAGGTAAGGTTTACATGAGTCATATAAGAATCACACAGGGGACATAAAAAATATGGAAATAAGCAAAGTATTGCAAAAAAAAAATGCAAGCAACCTGCATTTACACCTATATGTTCTTTCATTCCATAGTAATTCAATCTTATACTGATTTGGAACGGTACATGAAAGGATTTCTAACTGACATAAATTGAATATACAATGCCATTTTGCAGCTGTATTATATAGGTGCATAACAAAACGGAAGGGTCGGCTCGACTGAGGATGGACTACACTCTCGTAGATTACCAGCGTCAATAAGCAGCATAAAGCTGCTGTGTTTTATATGGTAAGTGACGAGAATCGAAGATCGCTTTTACTGCTAACGCGGCATTTCTTTTGTTCCTTCGCGGTAGGTAGCGATAAGGCATCTGCATTTTTTTTTCTTAATATGTATATTTATTTTTTAAAAGGCCGGCAACACATCTGTAATTTCCCTGGCGTTGCAGTTGTTCATGGGAGCCGGTGGTCATTTACCATCAGGTCATTTACTCCTTATGACATCAGCTATCTGCAAGCGAAAATCCCGTCAAAATCGGTCCAGCCGTTTCGGAGATTAGCCGGAACAAAAAGACAGACAGACAGACCAAAATTTTAAAAATTGAATCTTTGTTATAAGTACCGTATAAACTTTCATATGCATTTAGTACAATGTTGTAATTTTGACATTACATACAGACACTTCAATTTTATTTATTTGTATAGATAATTCTTCTGTCCGTGTGTATGTGACTGAACTCCTCCTAAACGGCTTTGTGTGCGTGATTAAATTGATTCGAGAATGGTTTAGATTCACAAGTGCACCCGGTAGGTGGCGCTGTTGTCGAGATCCAGAAATCACCCGTGCGAAGCCGGGGCGGATCGATAATAGTTACGAGTACATATAATCATATAATATTAATAGTATTAGTATTACCATTACGCCATCTTATGTTGTACCTAATTCAAACGACTGCAATGTAGGCACAACTGGAATGGAGTAAGTGGGGACGAAACATTTAATTAAAAACACCGGTAGGGAAAAAAAACGCAAAGAGCAAAATGAACTACTAAAGGTTATATGAATTCATGCATTTGCCATCCACACTGATTCAGATTTTAATGATACAAGTTGTATTACGTGAATAGCAATTTTCTTTTAATTAAGGATAATTAATGAGATAAGGGTGACAAACGAGCACACAGTTCACCTGATGGTAAGTAGTTGCTGTGGCCCATCTTTATCGATCCTCGATTACGAATCAAAATGCAGATGCATTGTCACCCGTGAGGACTAAGATGGAATGCCTCGTTTCCAGTAAAAAGGGTCTCCGGTTCTCTACACTCACCATACGAAACACAGCAGCATTGAGCTGCTATTTTACGCTGGTATTCTGTGAGAGCTTGAATCAGTAATATATATGTAGCTGCAGTACAATACAACGTGGTAGAGCCATACTGCAGTACATACTGCAGTATGGCTCTACCACGTGCAAAAAATATTATATTGATGACCTTCTAGCATTTGTTGTTAATAAACCTAAGTTAAAAAGTTGACATTATGTTATGCTGTCCATGGATACCATCGAAAAATATCATACGAGGTCTGTTCAAAATATATCGCGTATTTTATATTTTTTCAAAAATTATTTATTTATTCATGAATATCTATTTTGTATGCTTCAAAGGAATCCCCCTCGGATATAATGCACTTGTGCTAACGTTTTTTCCAATCCTCGAAAAAAATCATTTATCGTCGTCAATCGTCAAATCATTCCTTACAATCGAATGGCACGAGTAGAGGTTGCAATCGAATATTCGAATATTCGAATTATTCGAATTTTATTTTCAAATTTATATTCGAATAGTAAAAAAATATATATTCGAATATTCGAATAACTACCAAATAAATATACTATTCAAGTCTATGTTGGCAGAACTTAAAAATTGTTGTTGGCAACACTGCTTAACGGCTTGAGTGACTTGACGCCATTTTGTTGAGTTCATTCACTTACAGAACGCGTTGTTATATACTTGCAAAGCTGTGCATTTTGTCTTTTGTGATTTGATTCTTGTGTTTATATAAAAGTATTTGTGGATTGTTTTATGTAAGTATTGTGTATTTTGTTATTTTTTTGCAAACACGGTAGTTGAATTTATGACTTAACCTAAAAACTCACTTTGCACTGATCACCAAATACCTACGTTATATGTATTTACAAGTATCAAATTCAATTACATTGCAGATCAGTTGATGATGGATAAATTGGTTTTTAAAGAGTACACAAAACGTAAGTTTGACAAATCTTCAGTATGGAACTCTTTCTTACGGACTGAGGATGGAAGTCACGCAAAATGCAAATTATGCAAAAGAATTCTTCAATGCTCAAATACCACCACATGCTTACACAATCACTTGAAGAAACAACATCCAAGTGTACCTGGTTAGTCACTCATTTAACTTACTTTTACGGCTTTTACCTTTATTAACTACTTCACTTTCACTTACATTTATTACTTTTGACCAAAAGGTATTAACGCTTTTACTCATAAGATTTTTTTTTATTGTTCGGTCTACTAGATACAAGAAGAAATATTCGACAGATTCCAGCGACTGCTACGCCTACCATTCCCACAAATGAGGTAGTACAAGAACAAGATCAGCGGCCCATGCCCAAGACAAAAAAAGTCAGAATTGACGATTACTATCAGAACACCAAAGAAGATAATATGGAAACTGTGATTTCCAAAATGACTGCGTGTGATGGTCAACCATTCAAAGTTTTTTGCAAATCAGAATCTATACGTATGCTTTTTTTAAAAAGTGGATACGAAGCTTTGCCAAAATCTCCGAACACAATTAAGAAGATTGTTATAGAAAAAAGTGACCTGTTAAAACAAGAACTGAGAAAAGAATTGTCGGTTTTAAAAGCAAAAGGACAGAAATTTTCCGTCTCTCTTGATGAGTGGACATCAGCTAGCAACCGGCGTTATGTGAATATTAACATTCACTGCCCTAATTTCAATGACAATGACAAGCCTTTCAGAAACTTGGGGTTGGCAAGAATTACAGGTAGAGGAACATCGGAAAGATGTAATCATATTTTGCGGGTTAAATTAGGGTCCTACGATCTATTTTTAGAAGATGACGTAGTAGGTGTAGTGACAGACGGTGCTAGCGTTATGACTGCCATGGGTCGTCAAATACCTTCATTTCACCAATTATGCCTCGCACATGGAATTCAGTGTGCAGTGGTGGATGTCATATATAAGAACTTATATAGTCAGAGTGTAGAAACTGTCGAAAATTCAGAAGAAATAGACACAGAGGAGACATTATCTACATTAGTAGATTCAGAGGCAGAAGAATCAGAAGATGAAGAAACAGATGAAAATGACGATGGACAAGGTTTTCTAGTTAGTAATGCAGAAACCAGAAGTGAATCCAGGCTTAATGTCGATTATAAGGATTTGATTGTTAAAGTACGAAAGGTAGTGAAATTTTTCAAGAAGTCTCCAACTAGGACAGAAGTTTTAAATAAACATGTCCTTGAAGATAACAAAAGAGCGGGCCTGGTTTTAGATTGCAAAACGCGGTGGAGCAGCATGGCGGACATGGTTTCAAAATTTTTGCTTTTAAAGGATGCAATATTAAAGGCACTGATTGACTTGAAAGAAAAAACTATGTTCAGTACCTACGAGCTTGATCTTTTGCAGGATTTATCTACGACTCTCACTATCGTAAAAAGTACTGTAGAAGCTATTTGCCAAGAAAAGGCGAATTTATTAACTGCGGATACAGCCCTGCAATTCATGGTCACTAAACTACAAGAGAACAATGGGGTTATAAGTAGTAGACTCCTTCAGGCTTTAACATTAAGAATCGCTCAACGCCGACAAGCAGATCTGGTATGTACACTGAAGTATTTACACAATCCTAACAAATACTACCAGGAACAATCTTCTACTGTCTTTCCTAAAGTAGGAAATGATGTTATCACCAAAGTCATAGTTGACATAAAAAAAAATACTTTAATCAAAGACCTTCAACAATAACTTATACTGGCGCTTCTGATGACGAAGATGACATGTTTCTAGCAGATCTACAGCATTGTCAAAATGAAGAAGCGTCTAGAATCACAAATATGTCAATAAAAGAACAGCTGCAGAAAAAAATAGATGATGAAATGTGTGCAAGGCCTTCTACGTCCACAGCAACTTGCGAAGATGATCTAGAATCATCAATAAAAATGCAGATGGCTTCATATGATGCAGGAGCGCCAAGACAAATACACCTAACTCAGGCTTATGACGTGTTAATGTGCATTCCACCAACTAGTGTAGAGTGCGAAAGGGTATTTTCTTCTACGAAGTATATCTGCAATCATCTCAGATGTAAATTAAGCGATGATTCCTTAGACGCATTAAGTTTCCTCAGGTCTCACTTTCAAAGAATACGTAAAAAACAATAATTATTATGGCTGTGTTGATTTTATATTATAATAGGTAAATCTGACTTAATTCTTAGTTATTATTGATGAATCTGATTTATTAGTGTAATATTGCATATGAAAATGATACTGCAATGCCTTTACGACACCTTTACATTTGTGATACTTTTTATTTTTATTATTAACGAGTTTAAGACTTTTTGAATTGCTTGAGAATTTTATAATTGTTTTGATTAACATGTTCATGTATAATCGTGAGATTTATAAGAACATAAGGTTCTTACTATGTTTAAGAATTTGATAATACTTTTTATTTTACTAAACACCGAGTTTATATTGTTTAAAGATAAATGATGATTCTATTCGTGTTGGTATGTTAGATTATTTGCAATATTTATTGTTTTTTTGTTTAATGATTATTGTTCTGTTCCTAAAGCAATAAAAGCTGATATTTGAAGTGTATTTTTTAATATATTCGAATATTCGAATAATATTCGAACAGTACTGAAAAAATATTCGAATATTCGAAAATCAAAACTATCGAATATTTGCAACCTCTAGGCACGAGCCAATCGATATGTTTAGGTCCTCAGCAACTTCTCTAACGGTGATTCGACGATTGGCCAATAATATTTTCTTCACTTTATCAATGTTATCGTCTGTTGTTGACGTGCTCGGGCGTCCGGCACGCTGTTCGTCGTTCACACCTTCTCGGCCTTCTAGTACCACCGATAAACGTTGCTTTGGTCCAAGCTAGCTTCACCATATGACACGGTCAACATTCGGAATGCATCCGCGCACTTTGTTATGTTTTTAACACAAAATTAAATACGGATTTGTGGCGGGCGGAAAGAAAAGGGGAGATCTCCCGCCGGGCAAGGTGTTCTGCCCGGGGAGCGGCCAATGCTCCGAGTGGTAGTTAGAGGCTAGTCTCTATATACTGCTTTAACTTCGGATCTTTGTTAGCGTGATTTAGGCTTCGATTTGTTTTGCTTGTGGCGCGACAACAGCGCCGCCACTTCACCCCCCTGCTCAGACCGGAGGTCGATAGTGCAGTCCGATTGCCGGTGCGTCCTTAATGCCGGTGAGGAATGCATGCTGTGTGCGTAAGGGCAAGTACGCCGGTGCGAACGATATGCCGGTGTATAATGCATGCCATACTACGCACTTGCAAGTGATGTTGGTGAGAACGATGAGCCGGAGCAAGTGCCAGGGATTGCCTTGTAGTCTGCGGTGAGTCGAGAAGAAGGCAAGTAATCTGCGAGAGTGCCGTGAAGCAGAGGCGAGCAATAAGGCTCAGAGCCGTGCCGAACACTAGCGCAGAGAGTAGCTTGAAGGAACAGGAAGCATTATTATTATTCCAGTGCTGCGATGACCTTTGTAAAGCTAGATGGCTTTGTAGAATGTGAAGACTGCAGACAATATCTGCTCGGGAGCGAATGAATGGGGTACTTGAGGACGATGACGAAGGTTTTGAAGTTGTAGTTTCCGAAGGTTGTTGGTTGCGTGTTCGTGTCACGTCGGTTAGTCACCACCGTTGCCGGTGAAAGGAAAAGGGGAGATCTACCGCCGGGCAAGGTGTTCTGCTCTGCCCGGGGAGCGGCCAACGCTCTGAGTGGTAGTTCGGCGCTATTCTATATATACTGCTTTAACTTCGGAACTTTGTTTGCGTGATTTAGGCTTCGATGTGTTTCGCTTGTGGCGCGACTACAGCGCCGCCACATATTCTTTGATCCATTTTTTGGAAAAGACAAAAATCGTAGACGAGCCAAAACACATCCAAGCAAAACAGCTGTCGAAAATTAACTAAACATTCAAAATGGCAGACCTTGTCAGCATTAGTAAAGGACATGAGTACCAACATAAGGCTACACAAAAATCAAAAATCAAATATACGTAGCCCGCGGAAATTCAAAATTCGCGATACTTTTTAAACAGGCCTCGTAAAAAGGAGAATGAAACTTTTGAAATTTGAAAGGTACTATTCCAAAAATAAACAGAAAAAAATTGTGTTGTGTGTGTATATTTGATGGTCGAATTTTGACCAGACACAATATTAGTGATAATTACAGCAAATATAAAACATACAGCGATCGATGCATACATCTTAAATATATATTGTTCTTTTTTATGACGTTCAACTAAAAATTTCATACAAAGAACTAAAACTTGAACAAATATAATTGAAATTAAATCATACAACAAATGGTGATATTAAGCAGCCGTTTGCGGTTTTATATATTTTAACACCACACACGTTTCTCGAAAGCCGGAAGATCCTTGGCAAACTAGGAAGTTGAAAACACAAACAATTTTAATTTATGTGTGTGCGATAAAAAACAGCCCTTTCACGGATCATCGCGTAGCAGAATTAAACGACATGTAGTGAAATAATTTAGGTAACTGGGTCTCAATTTTTTGGAACGAAGTTTTAAATACGTTTATCAATAATAATATACTACGAAAGGAACTTCGATCAAACCGAGTGTTCCATGACACTCGCGCATGTTTTTATATCATTAGGATTACAGGCTACCAAATGTCCACTGCTGAACGTAGGTTTCCCCAATGGATGACCTCACCAGGATTTTGCCATAGTTGCCCACGCTCAGCAAGCGGATTGGCAACCGCCGGTTGTTTTATAATTTTGAGTTGATGAAGGAAGATACTGCTGCCCATATCCTGTTTAATTTCCCTCTGTCTCCACTTACGGCATCCAGGAAGGACATGGGGTAGTGGATTTTCTTACAACGCCGCCACTACACATTGTGGCACGGCTATGCTTTATAGGTGGAAAAATAAAAGTAGTTGTTAATGTAATTATTATGACGACATTCTAATGACCTTGAGGTTGTGATACAATTTACAATGTTTGTGTAATCAAACAGGATGAAATGTCGAATAGAAGCTGAACATTTTTTCAATTTAATTAATCTTTTGTTTTACTATTTACATACATTATTTTAATAATATTAATTAAAATAATGTATGTAAATGGTAAAATATTTAATTATCAAACTGTAACTATATTAAATACTATAATAATAGTTAATTTTAAATACATAATAATATGTCCCTATCGTGTTGCCAGTGATGACTTACGGAACTGAGACGTGGTCCTTCACTGCTGGCCGTATGAGGAAGCTCAAGGTCGCTCAGCGAGCTATGGAGAGGGCTATGCTCGGAGTTTCTCTGCGTGATAAACTTAGGAATGAGGATATCCGCAGTGGAACCAGAGTGACCGACATAGCCCAACGGATTAGTAAGCTGAAGTGGCAGTGGGCCGGCCATATAGCTCGAAGAACCGACAACCGATGGGGAAGAAAGGTTCTCGAGTGGCAGCCTCGTACCGGTAGGCGAAGTGTAGGGCGTCCCCCCACGAGATGGAGTGACGACCTGGTAAGACATGCAGGAAGTCAATGGATGCAGGTGGCTCAGGACCGTGTTTTGTGGCATTCTTTGGGGGAGGCCTATGTTCAGCAGTGGACTTGTGAAGGGCTGTAATGATGATGATGATGATGATGTCCCTATCACTATCACTGCAGCCGTCAAAGTATTCACAAGCGTAAGTAAGCTTCAGTCCATCACAAGTCAACTGCTTTTGGCCTACTCCATAGGTTCCGCCGCCACACAGTAGTGCTAGTTGAACTAAGTGGTTCTGTTGAGTAAGTTTTAACAACTGTTTTTATGTTTACATAAAATTTCATGCTTTAGTGAACAGGGATCAAGTAATGTTTAATAGCGCTACTATATCATCATTATCAACAAAATATATATTTGTACCTACAAAAATAAATGTTGCATACATAATATTTTTTATTATTTTTAAATTTTTGGTCTGCGATGATCGGCCCAAAATATAACAATAGAAAGCTGAAAGTTGGCGGGACTAACTATATCAGAACATCAGTGAGGTGAGTTAACACAGCCGGGAATACACCTAAGTCTAAGTAAGTGCTGCAAACCACCCGAAACCACAGAATAAATAATGGTCATAGACCATTCAACCAAATTATGGTACTACGTACCGAAACGTGGAAAGTATATAAAAATAGGTTAGTATATTAAACGCGATAAAGTACGTAAAAATTACTTTAATAGCACATTCTTAAAATGGCTCATATCATATAATTGGCCGTATTAAAATGGCTCATATTCATATAATATAATGTTGTTGTAGTGTACCTTACGATTTTTCTATTTTTTCACTAATGCACTTATTAAATGCAATTTTAATTACATTAGTACTTAAAATTGCATTTAATAATTTCATTAGTGCCGATGCAGATCGACCCCTGGTTGCTTGTATTGTGAAATATACGGCGAGCGCTTAATCCCTACCACGGCTATATAAGAATTTTCATTTATACATCCCCTAGTTTAAACTAAACTGAGCAAAACGTCACTTATGTTTTTGTATGACGTAATTACTTATCGCAAGATATCCGTGCCGGACTTACTGTACGAAGCGAGTTAAAAAGCACGCAGCGTGCGTGCTACAAACTACAATCTCTATCTATCCGTATTTTGTATCCATGCACTATCAACATTTTATCTTCTACAATTTCTCAATGAAATTTAATAAGTAGTATTTAATTATATTGATGTGTCTGTCTGTAATATCGAAACAACTGTATTTTATTAAGCTTGTGGCCGTGGGAAGGAAGAGGGGAGATCTCCCGAAGAGCTATTCTATATATACTGCTTTAACTTCGGAACTTTGTTAGCGCGATTTAGGCTTCGATGTGTTTCGCTTGTGGCGCAACGACAGCGCCGCCACATCACCCCCCTGCACAGACCGGAGGTCAATAGTGCAGTCCGATTGCCGGTGTGTCCTTAATGCCGGTGGGAAATGCATGTTCTGTGCGTAAGGGCAAGTGACGCCGGAGCGAACGATATGCCGGTGTATAATGTATGCCATACTATGCACTTACAAGTGATGCCGGTGAGAACGATGAGCCGGAGGAAGTGCCAGGGATCGCCTTGTAGTCTGCGGTGAGTCGAGAAGAAGGCAAGTAATCTGCGAGAGTGCCGTGGAGCAGAGGCGAGCAGTGAGGCTTAAAGCCGTGCCGAACACTGTAGCGCAGAGAGTAGCTTGAAGGAACAGAAAGCATTATTATTCCAGTGCTGCGATAAACCTTCTGTAAAGCTAGATGGCTTGTAGAAAGTGAAGACTGCAGACAATATCTGCTCGGGAGCGAATGAATGGGGTTACTTGAGGATGATGAAGGTTTCAAGGTGTAGTTTCCGAAGGTTTGTTTGGTTGCGTGTTCATATCACGTCGGGTGATCACCACTGTGGCGGGTGGAAGGAAAAGGGGAGATCTCCCGCCGGGCAAGGTGTGCTGCCCGGGGAGCGGCCAACGCTCCGATTGGTAGTTTGGAGCTATTCTATACTGCTTTAACTTCGGAACTTTGTTAGCGCGATTTAGGCTTCGATGTGTTTCGCTTGTGGCGCGACGACAGCGCCGCCACAAGCTGATGGGGTAAATACTAATTAGCATGCCATTAAAAAATCTTGTCTGTCAGTCAAGGTTAATATTCGGAAAAGCTGAACCAATTGTAATGAAATCCAATGAACACATAAAAAATATTTTTAAGTAATCGTAAAATTGTTTAAATAATGTGGTCTAATAATTATTATTTTAAAATCTAAATGACACTGATAATGACCTGTTAATGGATCCGTACCAGGCGAAGCTGGATACCGTTGCTTGTAATAATCAGGAACCACAAACATAAGTTCAAGGCTATCTTCATTATGTAACTTGAGTCTGGGTGTAAATAGCAACTAGCGACCCGTTATCCGGTTCACACATCTCTTAAATGAACTGCTTGTAAAACCTTTTATTTGCTCGCTTCACGCGGACCTGTTTAGTCGACGACGACGGTCTACTCTTTTATTTGTTTGCCTACAAAATATTTTATAATATACAAATTTCACTGAAATATTCATACTCCTTTTAAAAAGAATTTTAAAGAAATAAACATAAAATCATTATAGGATAATACACTACACCATGCTGTGTGAAGAATTCATCATGTCATTTCGTCCCTTGCGTATCTTTTTTTTTAGAATAAGTGTGTCCAACGAGCACACAGTCGACCTATGTGAATGCTGTGGCCCATAGACATTTACATCTATCCTCGATAAAGAATCAAAACGCTGTTGCCGCCCCAGAGGACTAAAATGGAATGCCCCGTATCCAATAAAAAGGTCTCCGATTTTCTATCTTCACCGTACGAAACACAGCACCATTGAGCTGTTATTTTACGCTGGTATTCGTAAGAGGCGTCTATCGAAAAGGTCGGAAAGATATTATGGCCTCCAACAGACGGCTTTATAATATATAGCATATTTATGGTATATTGCATATTCCAGATGTAAAACACTCAGACACACATATTCGTCTACTAACCGTGGAACTAGTACAGCAAATTCTACCCACAATAAGAGTGGTCCATGTGCAGCTGTGAGACAAACAAGTGGTAAAATTAATAATTTTGTACAACCGACTTCAAAATAAATCATTAAGAACAACTCAAAAATCTTCGCATCAGGTCAGACCTTGAATAAATTTACATGGGACCACACGAGAAGCACAACAAATAAAAAAAGAATCATCAAAATCGGTGCACCTAAAAAAAAGTTATGAGATAACACACATAAAAAAAAACCAAAAAAAAACAGTTGAATTGAGTAGGTACCACCTTTATTTTTTATAGTCTGTAGAAAAGTTATAAAGACGAAAAGGTACACCTATAAATATTTAAGAACTGTTCGATTGTTCTCGGTAAACTAACTACATCATTTATTAATATACACTGAGTAAGCAAATTAGAAATGTCAAACACAAAATTTATTTAGATCTAACATACTTAAAGAACGCAAAGGTAAATTAATCAACTGTATTTCAATTTACCTGAGATAACGATATGATAACGTATCTATGCGGCACAAGTTATTATCTGTATGACACTTTGGGATGTTATGAATTTGCAAGTTAGAAGACAAATTATCATAATATGCATATACTCCTTCCATCAATCCGATAGCCAGCAAGCGTAGTGTTGGTCGCCTCCCCAGTAGATGGAGTGACGATCTGATAAAACACGCAGGTAGTCGATGGATGTAGATAGCTCTGGACCGTACCTTGTGGCTTAAAGGACTATGGTCAGCAGTATACTTGTGATGGGAAGTAGTGATAGTGATGCTGTGTCTAAATAATAGGTATTATAAGTCGCTATAACCGTGTAGTGGGGGTGAAAGAATGTCCACTACCCCGTATCGTCATGTGGGTGTCGTAAGAGTCAACAGAGGGAAACTGAAACAGGAGTTAGGCAGCAGCACCTTCCTGATAACAACTTAAAATAATAAAAAACTGCGGTTGCCAATCCGCATGGCAAGCGTGCCAACTATAGTAACATCCCCCCTATGAGGAAATCTATAGGGGATGCCATGTTCAGCAGTGGACTTTTATAGGTTGTAACGGATGGATGGATGGATTAGTCTAAAAATCGGACTATTATCAATCCTCATTGCACAATTATTAGCGTTTATAATAATATATAATTTTATAATAATATATAATAAATAATTTACTTAATAACTAGCTGTTCCCGCGACTTCGCCCGCGTGTAATTTTAGATTTTAATTTTCTAGCGCGGAGCCCTAAATATTTTTCTAAAATATAAGTAGCCTAAGTTACTCCTTATAACATGAGCTATCTATTTGTGAAAGTCCCGTCAAAATCGGTCCAGCCGTTTTGGAGATTAGCCGGAACAAACAGACAGACAGATAGACAGACAAACAGACAAAAATGTTAAAAATTGTGTTTTTGTTATAAGTACCGTATATACTTTCATATGCAATTAGTAAAAAGCTGTTATTTTATTTATTTGTGTAGATGTATAGATTATTTTGGAGACAATTTTAGCATTCAGGATGTTGAATGACAGAACCTGTTTCTATAAGTTAATGAATACATTCATATATAATTTATTACAGCCTATCAGAAATCCATTACTGACTAATGACCTCTCCCATAGATTGCCTCATAGGTCATAGGGGGCATATTTGCCACAGTTATCACGCTTGGCAGGCGGGTTGGCAATTAAGATTTCATATTTTTTGAGATCTTAACACGAACATCATCATCATCATTATCATTACAGCCCTTCACAAGTCCACTAGTGAACATAGGCCTCTCCCAAGGAATGCCACAAAGCACGGTCCTGAGCCACCGGCATCCATCGACTTCGACTTCCTGCATGTCTTACCAGGTCGTCACTCCATCTAGTGAGGGATCGCCCTACACTTCGCCTACCGGTACGAGGCTGCCACTCGAGTACCTTTTTTGCTATATGGCCGGCCCATTGCCACTTCAGCTTACTAATCCGTTGGGCTATGTCGGTTACTCTGGTTCTACTGCGGATATCCTCATTTCTAAGTTTATCACGCAGAGAAACTCTGAGCATAGCCCTTTCCATAGCTCGCTGAGGGACCTTGAGCGTCCTCATACGGCCAGCAGTGAAGGACCGCGTCTCAGATCCTTAAGTCATCACTGGCAAAACGCACTGATTGTACAGTCTCGTTTCTAGGTTTTGAGGTAAATCTGATTGTGTCGTAATTTCCCGAACGCTGCCCGGCCGAGTTGAATCCGTCGATTAACCTCTCGGTCGAAGTTGGACTTAGCTAGTTGGACTATTTGTCCCAGGTAAACATACTCGTCAATAACTTCGAGCTTAGTGCTCCCATATACTACAGGCATAAGTGTGACATGGACATTAAACATGATCTTTGTTTTGTCCATGTTCATCTTAACATCATGTTCATTTTAAGTGTGTCCCAAATAGTGCCCACATCTTGGAAACTGGCCAATGTGCAGCCTGTGCCTAAAAAAGGTAGCCGTACCGACCCTGCCAACTATCGGCCAATTTCAATTACCTCCATATTCTGCAAGACTATGGATGAACTATGAAGAGTATATTGAACGCCGACCTCATGGCATACCTAGAACAAAATGACTTCCTCAGTGATCGCCAGTACGAGTTTCGCCGAAATCGATCAACTGGTGACCTTCTAGCGTAGAATAGAACAGAGTGATTTTTATTCAATATTGATTATTACATAACACTTATTGAAAGTCATTTTTTATTTACCACTGGTTCGGAAAATATCTCTGTCCTGGGAAGAACCAGCAAGAAACCAACAAGAAAAAATTTTCATAGAACCAGCATGGTGGCGATCACCTTATTCCCAGGGGTTATTTTCATTCATGTATTCCTTGATATGTACTATATATAGTACTAGTATTACTTGATATAATAAAACTTTTAAACTTGTTTATTGACAAACTTTGAACATGTACTGGGCTTTTGTTGTAAAAGCGTATACATTGCCCCATAAATGAATTACTGATTCTGTGGAGTCTAGTAACTGGAATTACAAGCTTATGTTTGTTCCTAGTGTTTAAAGTATGAACATCCTCATTCTTATTAAAGCTATTTATGTTTTTGTGTACATACATTACATTTTCAATGCCACTCACATATGGGGCGAAGCCCTCGAGAACAGTGGTGAAGACCTTGCTGTTTCCCTCGATGTTTCGAAGGCCTTTGATAGGGTTTGGCACGCTAGTCTATTGGGCAAGCTTACAGCGTACGGCTTATCCCCTGGCCTGATTGTCTGGGTGAAGGACTTTCTGAGTGAACGGTCTCTTCGGGTCGTCATTGATGGCTGCTCATCCGATACTATGGCGACTAACTCCGGTGTTCCTCAGGGGTCCGTTCTCTGCGCAACTCTCTTCCTGCTGCATATTAATGATCTGCTCATTCCCGGTATCTATGGGTAGCCAGTCTCTTGGTATTCTATAGGATGCACTTCGGTGAGTGTGTATTTAACTCTTTAATTCCTCCCTCTCCTTTCCACCATCGGACAACCAGGAGGTCGGCGGGTCTGCACGCGTTTGTTGTCGATATTCCACGCATTAGAACCAAAAGGTTTGCTTCGTCTTTTGTAATGCGTACAGCAAAGGAGTGGAATAATTTGCCGCCGTCTATCTCTCTGTCCGAATACAATCTGGGCGTCTTTAA